CGCGGCGGGGAGGCGGAGGAGAAGGGCCGGGTGAAGAGGACGATGTGAGTCGGGGTTCGCGCCTGGGCTGCTGCCCGCGAGCCAGCGCGGCCGCGGAGGGGCGCGGAGCGAGCAGTGCTGCCGCTGCCGGGGGGGAAGAAGTCATCACCTCTCGGCCTTTCCGAGCAGTCACTTTAAACACCCCTTTTTCATTCTTCCAGCATTAGAGACTGGAAAACGAGACTGAGCTACTTCCTGCAAAACTCCTCCAGTTCTACTAAAATGAAATCCAAGAAAGCAGGAAAGCACCACACCTACTTCAGGTAACTTCTGACAAGCAGACTTGAAGTGACTCAAATATCTTGCAAACAAAAAAGAGCTGTAGTCTAATGTATTCTCCATTGCTTTATGCAGACCTTCCCCTGAAGAAGCCCAGCTGTGGTCAGAAGCTTTTGATGAACTTCTTGCTAACAAATGTAAGTTTGTCTTTAAAAAGTAACTTTTAGGAACAAAAGGGGGGTGAAGCTTCTATGCATTTCTAGGAGGTTTCTTCCTTGTGTGTCAGCCATATACCTCACTTTTGCTAATGCACACAGCTTCGATTCTGATCTTGGAAATAAACACTTTAAACCATTTCAAATCCGAATTTATAGAAATGTTATTTTCAAATTATTTGTAAGCCAATATTGAAACATCGAGAACACTTTGTAGTAGAGGAATTTATTCTTGTTTTAGCTATAACCTCTGCAATGAAACCATACCTCTAGTTGGCTTTGCCAAATGCCAAAGTGCATTTGTTCGCTGTGCTCTCTGCATATCCTAGACAAATGCACTACAACAATTTGGAAATTGTTTTGCAACACTGGTGTCAACAGAAGTTCAGTCGATAATCTCTGGGTTTTACCATTGCCCTGCAAGGAAAGCGCTTAGCAGCAGGGCAAAAAGGACTAAGAACTAACATCAGCATTTGCTCTTTGACCTTGAGTCATCCTTTCTGCCACAAAAATATTCCAGAGGTTTGTAGCAGTGTCATAAATATTTACTCCAGTCTAAAGGTTAACACATTAAATCCTATCAAGAGAAAATTTTAAAGTATACATGCATACATCACAAAAGGGAACAGAGGCTAGAGATGGCTTTCATTTGTGTTTACCTAAAAACAGCTAACTTAAGTGAAGCTTGCCAAGCCATTAGAGCGTTAATTTGTTTGCATACATAAATGTGGACTTTTATTGCCATGGCATCCGCGAAAGAAATACACCAGAACTACAGCAATATGTTTGGTAGGAGAAGACATGACAAATGGGTAAATTCAAGATTCCTGAAATACGTAATTGATGTATTTTTGCTTCCCCCGTGCCTTTCCCTAGATGGTCTTGCTGCTTTCCGAGCTTTTCTGAAGTCAGAGTTTTGTGAAGAGAACATTGAGTTCTGGCTGGCATGCGAGGACTTCAAGAAAATCAAGTCACCCCAGAAGCTGACAGTGAAAGCAAAAAAGATTTACAATGACTTCATTGAAAAGGAAGCTCCCAAAGAGGTAAAAGGAACTATATAAACACAATTGCCCTATTCTGTGGCTTTGTAAAGCCCTGCTTTATTTCTCTGCACTCATTTCAAGTTAAATGCCAAAAATTCATCATACATAGCTCCTTGTTAGTATCTGCATCAGATCAGAACTCACTTCCCTAACTGCATTTTCACTAGGTTGGAAAACTGCACAAACCGTGTTTCAGAGAGCACCCGTCTTATTTCAGCTAGGAAAAAAATCAGAGCATCATTTAATACCTGTAACATATCTGAGAGTTAAACATGGAAACATCATATCATCTGAACTGCTTTCCTTAAGGAAGTTTCATCAATTGAAGGCTGTAGCAATAGGGTCTTTAACTTTTCTCACCTGTTACAAAATGTAGTTCTCTGAAGTAAGTGTCCTTCTTTGTATTTCAGATAAACATAGATTTTCAAACCAAGAACCTGATTGCTCAGAATATTCAAGAAGCTACACATACCTGCTTCAGTGCCGCACAGAAGAGAGTTTATAGCTTAATGGAGAATAACTCATATCCACGGTTTTTAGAATCTGAATTCTATCAGGAACTGTGCAAAAAGACTCCCATCACCAGAGTGGCCCAGGCAACATGAGCTACAGCAAGGAGCAAGGAGAAGTCTTGCAGCTACTGAAGAAGAAAGCCACAGATCCCCAGCTGCATCCTGACCAGAAGGGCTGAGATACCAAGTGCACAGTCCATCTGCCAGGATGCATGGACAAATATCAACTGTGTTGCAAAGCCGATAGCAGGGGATGATGCTGGAGGGCGTGCAGGGAGAGTTGGCAGCCAGCTGCTAGGGACACACCTTTTTCTGTGAACACTGGTGTGAAAAGGTGATTCCACATTTTCGATGAAGCCGAGTGACGTGACATTCCTCATGTCACAGTGGAGGTGTTGATACAGTAGGTTAGAGCAGAGCTTCCTTTTTGTAAACACAAGCAGCTCTGTACAGCTGAGCAGTGCTGGGAGCTTGAGTAATTGGTTACGTACTTATTTTTCCTAAACATCAACAGTGCTGCTGTCATCATTCACTTAGTGTCTTAACACCAGTTGTGTAAACTAAAGACTTCTAGCTGCAGACAGATGTATCAGGCTTCTCTGCAACTGCTCAACACTATAGCACTGTCACCAGCAGTATGAAGTGAGGAGGGGGGGGATATAATTCACTTCCCAGAGGAGCAGGTTGTGTAACTTAAGTATACAGGGCTGCATGATGTCAGTGGGGCTGCAGGAGAGCAGGCTGAGGGCAGAACATGGCCACAGCAAACAGGAACTATACATATTATATGCAGATTGTGGTTGTGCTGAATGCTGCATTATGTCATAATTCTGTCTTGAGGACAGCAAGTTTTAGTGAATTTTATTTTTAATAAATTATTTTGATAAAGCTTCTTTGTTGCTTAACTTCTTTTGCCTACATGTAGATGTACTGTCCAAAGTCTGGAGCACTGGGAATGGGTGTCCCACAGCCATCAGTCTCAGTGGGATGGCAATAGGGCTAGCCTTAAAGCTGCTAGGGTAAGCACTAGCAGGCAAGGACACTTTTCATGGAGTTAAAAATCCAAGCCTGTAAGTTGCAAGAAAACTTAACATGTGAGATTAGAGGATGTAGAGGAACTACCGAATCTCAACTACCTCCCCATTAGAACAAGATATCAGGATACTGCAGGGCACTTGCAAAGGCAGGCACACATATGCCTAGACACAAGAGCAGATGATTCATATGTAGGATCAACTAGAAACTAGCAGTAAGTTGCTTCCTATAGCTCATGAAGGCATCAGGCCCACAAAGCCACCACCAGCCATACTCCTCCTGGAGGTCACAGGCATAAGATATTTGGAAACAAGTGCCAATGCAAAAGCAAGAGCACAGCTGCTATTGTTCAAGGCTTCTACTTCAGACCAGGGCTTAAAAGAGCTTTTTTTTAAAGCATGCTATTAAACCTGTGTGGAATCAGCAGAGATGACACTAACAAAAACACTTGACTCTCCATTAGATGAATACTCCTTTGGGGAAGAAATTACTGATCACTATCAACTAGAGAAGTACAATATCCACAGAAAACAACATCCAAAAACAGTAGCTCCAGAGCAATTCCCCTCATGAACCCTAATTTTGCCAGGCCTATGACTTATCTGAGCTCCAGCTGTTTAGTTCCCAGCTCCAGATACTTTGACTCCATTCTACAGGTCACACCTTTAATTCTGCACAGCCTAATTCTCATCATACAATACCCATAGTAGTCACTTCTCTAATAACCCACTTCAAGCAGCAAAAAGTTCTGACAAGATTTTCCACTTCAATTATGTAACCTCAGATTGTTCAAAAGCAATGAATCATTTGTACATATACTATATACATATACACTCTATACTGCCTCCACTCACAGAAAGCAGCATATTTGGAGACAGTACATCCTAATATAGCCTCATTTCTCTTCCTCAGCCTACTGGCAGATCCTTGTAAGGTATGGGTATAAAGGACATGAGTTCAACAATATTTCTTCTAGCAGTTGCCCGCAAGTCTGAGCATCTGTGTGTTGGGACTGAGGACGCACTTGTACTGCTCAACACGTAGGCTCTCCAGGACAAGCAACCTTTGTTTTAGCCACCCTTTCCTTAATCTAGGTGGAGATTTTGAATAGGCGGCAAAACGACCATGGGACCAGTGCTAGGAGCTGATATCTCTTAAGGCCTGGTTCTCATAGAGCTAAACTTGCTCTCAGTTTAGTTATATCCACATAAAAGTGGAAGACAATACTCAATCCAATAATTTACTGCAATGGAGAAAGCTTTTTTCCAACCAGGGAAGACAGATCTGGCTGATGACAGCTGCTTCCATAGCTTAACAAAATAACATGAACCGAGCATAAAGAGCAAGCCAGAAATGCACCTATTCATGACTCAGCTGGGGCACGAGCAACTCCATGAAACTCCATTGGTTCCAGGAAAGCTGTGTTAATCTGTGCCAGTCAGGATGTGGTAGCTAAGCAGTGCTGCTGTGTGCTTTCATGGAGAGAAATATTTGTAATATCAGCAGGTGCCAGAGCTCCTTGTAATGCAGTAGGTGCTCTGAGGAGGAAAGAGAGGGGGGCAGCCAGGCAGGGCACCCCTGCCCGAGGGCCACTCATGTATATACTTAAGATTTGAACCGCTAGCACTGATCTTGAGGCAGTTCCTCTGCTTCTGCAGAGCTCACCATGAGGGCAGCAAACCTAGCCATGCTGCAGCCCTGGTATGGTCTTTCTGCAGCATTCACAAGCCCTGATGTCAAGGCTCAGCTCTGCAGCAAGATCATTCAGTACCTCAACAGCAACAAGTCTTATTTTTGGTAAAACGCTTGCAACACTCCTTCCAACTACTGCTTTTCCAGTTCATGATAAGAACAACTTTCCCAATTCCCAGGAGAAATTTCACTGTAAAGAAGGCAAAACAAACACCCTGGAAGCACTACAACCCCTGGAAAACTGCTAAGAGCATTTCTTGGAGAAGGACCACCAGTGACTGCTTTAAGAGATGCTGCTTCCAGGCTCTGGGCTGCCTTACATCTGCAGTTAAAATTGGTGCTTGGGTATCAGTATCCAATGGCAACAAACAAACTGCTCATTCCTGCACAGCCCAGCTGAACAGTTAACCCTCCCTCGCTCCAAGCGACAGGGCTCAGACCAGCAGCAGCTGCACACAGCCTGCTCCCCAGCAAAGAGGCAGATCTGGAAGCAGTCGCAGGGGGTTTGCAGAGCTGGGGTCTGCAGACCAAGGGCCAGAGCAGGGTGCCCAGCCCAGGCACAGCCCTCTCCTGCTCCCAGCACATGAGGGAACTGCTCCAGCTCATAGCCCAAATAAGGGGCAGAAAAATAGAAGAGACTGAGGAACCTGCACTCCAGGAATCAAAACTGCCAAGGAGCATGGTCTGGGAACAAATTATTGTGTAAACAAACTTGATGCCTTTGGGGAAATGACTTACTGCAGGAGCTGAGGACAGGAGGAAGGGGCAGCTCTCCAGGCCTGGGTGGTGCGAGGGCCCCCCAGCCAGTGCTTGCTCAGAGCTGCCCGGCAGCCCTGCTGTCAGACCCTCCTGCAGCACAACAAATCCTGCTGCTCCCCAAAAGCGTATGCTAGTTCATGGGCTTTACATAAAAATAACAAATGTCAGCAGAGTCCAGGGATCCAGACTTACTGAAAAATACTCAGCAAGTCTCAAATAAAAGCATCTTCTTTTTATTATCCATGTAGCACCAGTTTTTTTTTTAATAAATCAGTCTTGCAGTGTTTAGTGCTTTTCTTAGAGCTCTGGCTACTAAATGATTCCCCTGCGTCATACCATAAAAATATATTTCTCACCCTCATGACCACAAGGAAAAGTTCAAAACTGCAATCTGAGTATGTGCTTCTCTAATAATTCCCCAAACTAGAAGGCAATGCAAAGACTCCAGAGTTATTATTTAAAGAAAACTAATTGTTTAAGCCAATCTCATGAATTGGAAAAACTAGGTCATGAGCTGCAAACCTCTGGATTTCACAATAGCTTGCTCTGCCACTGAAGCATATGGCAACCTGAGGGAGAGACCTCCATGCTGTCAAGAAGGCAACGTGCTGCAAAGCAATGCCTTAAAACACAAAGTCAGAGGAGCTGATCCTTGGCAGAGGTACCCTGCCCCAAGGCTAGAGAGGCTCCTCGGGAACAGGGTGAGTTAAACAGCAGTGCTGACTCACTGCTCCAATCAAACAAGAAAGCATGACCCCCCAGTAAACAAACTTCAATGCAGCGTGCTTGCGCCATGTATTTATGCATTGCAGCTGAAAAATACACCAAAAATATAAATACAACATGTAGCTCCACCTGAAATTCCAAAATCCTGTTTGAAAAGGGGAGACTGATGACACTAAAGGGTTTTATAAGCATATGCACGTGTGTGTGGAAGGATTTTCGCACCAGGACTTTATAACTTGGCACTTATGTGGAGCAGAAAAGCAACCTTTAGAACTACCTTTAAGAACTTCATAGATAATTTGTTGTGAGGGGCAAATTTAACTTAGCATGATTCAAAGGAGCAAGGAAAAAGAAAAAAAAAAAATCAGAGTCTGCAACAGCAGCCCAAACTGATCTTCCTTTCAGTGGCAAAGCATCAGCAAGGGCTCCTCCTCACCCCCACCAGGGCAGCAGTTCTTGGTGACCCTACCAATTCAGACAAGCCAGAAGCAAATTGTCAGGGCAGGCAGCAGGACACAGGGACAGGACACCAGCTACTACCTTAGCCCAAGGTCTATCCCAGCCACAGAGCCAGAAGGAGAACCAGACACAGACCTACCTACAGTACAGGTCACAATTCACCCAGGAGGCCAGGCTAGAGATGAGGCTAGACCTGCAGCACAGCCCAAGAAGACAGCAGGCCTCAGGCCTGACCTTAAATGGGCCCCAGGCAGGGTGGGGGCCAGCTGGGGCTCATCAGGGCCATTAGCACCCATTAGAGCCCTCCTGGCCTGACACAAACGTGGAGGGATCCTGTTCCTGAGGGCTTTTATCCAGCCATTTGGTCCTGTCAATTCATGGCCTTGAAGTGGTCTGAGTTTTTGAGGCAGCTCTGCAGCAGGGTTTGGGGTGCATATCTGGAGAAACACACTGCATATTTAACACACCTCGCACGGTTTTGTAGCTGTGCTATTTGACATCACCCTGAGCTCTGTAACTGTGGGCCAGCGCAGAAACCCGGGGAAAATAGTCCCACTGTTACCCTACATGTCAGTTTACAGTGTGAGTCCTTTGGCAGGCTTTCATGAAAATAATTATTTAGATCAGAGTTTCCAACAGCTACAAAGTACCCATGAGCAGCAATTATATGATGTTCCATTAAAAATATTAAATATTCCATTCAAGATACTCCAATTGACAGAAATTAATACTTACTTTTCCAAGCCAGTTTTCCCACTTCAGATTCAATGGAATAAGTTGTGTTTCTGTGTTACAGACTTAGCACAGAGAGCAGCTATGTGGATTCTTGGATCAGACCCTGACTTCAGGCTTTCAGGAGACACGGTACTAAAATCTCATATTTATAGGGCTTGGAAAGTCAGCTGTCCAATATGGAAAAGGCACTTATGAGCAGAGTGGGGAGTTTATTTAGCTGGTGCATTTCTTAGCCTTCACAGATTTCAAAGGGAAATAACAAAATCATGAAAGGACACATGCACTACAGAGGGGCAAGAGTGGGCAGTAAGGAGCTGTGCTTGCCTACTTGCATTGCCACAACCACTTTTAAAGGCAGAGAGGATTAACCCTTTCACTAGCAGTAAGTGAGGAGAGCGGCTCCATGCCCATCATGGCCAGCCATCCATGATGGGGACATCAGGAGGCAAAAAAGTCAT